AGGTTTAACTGCAGTATAAGCTAGTAAAGACGATGAGCTAGTAATTGTCAAGTTTTCATATGAGCAGACTTTTAATTGCATCTATGCAGTCATTGTGTGGTTACCTTGAATTTAATGGACTGACTGCATTGTTATTAATGGCCTTGAAGTAAAATTCATCACGTCACCTCCTAGGTATTTAGGGGCGAAGCTTCTTAAGGCGTGGGTCTGTACATCCTCTGATCAGGGCTCGTATAGGTTCTTGAAATCCTTTAAAACCCTTCAATTTGAAAAATGCATTTTCAAGACTTTTGAAAGTCCTGGAATTTTTTGCTATCCTCGATAGTCCTTGAATTTCGTGGGCAGTGCACTCCCATATCTACATCGCGACCTCCTAAATGTGGTAGATCGGTGTGTCAAACTCCCCATTTCCAAAGCAGTAATGTGGTTAAGTGTAGTAGAAGCTCTGAAAACTCACAAAAAACTCAAAAACCCCGTCTTTGCCTCACTTTACTCACTATTATGCTCAGTCTACACACTCAAACAACACACCATTGTGTGCTGGGTGCTAGGGCACTGCGAGAGTCAAGGCAATGTGTTGGCAGACCAGCTTGTCGGATCTGTCGACAAAAACACTGCCATTACATCCATAGCCATCCCTGCACTTGACCTGAAACCTTTCCTCAAATGACAGCTCAGAGCTTATTGGCAAAGCAGATGGGATAGCCTAACAGAAAATGAACTACATGTAATCAAGCCACATCTTGGTAATTGGCTGCCAGTATCGAAGTCACGCCATACACACGCTAAACTTACAAGGTCAAGATTAGAGCATACACACAGTACACATTCATATCTTCTGTCCAATGGTGATCCATCCATGTGCGAGAAATGCGGCGAGCCGCTCACCATTATCCACATTTTAATACAATGCAAGGAATTACAGGCTTTAAGAAAAGTCACTTTCCATTACCCTACGGAGAACGAATACCATTCATTCATCAATGTTCATCGGTAGGGATCCTTTCTTCAAACATCAGTCATTGCTCACATTTTTAATCGATGTTCATAACTTTCACGTCATCTATCCTGGTATTCTGCAACTCGACCTCTGAAGAGAGGTCACTGCTGTGGTAGATACACTACAAAGCACCTGTCTCGTGGCCCTTGTAAAGTAGGGCTTTTCAGAGACATTCGTGCTCTTTCATATCCCTATATTTTTATTATCGGAACCATTAGTTGCTAATTTTAACACTAGACTGTCACTCTTATGATTTTAACAACTTTATGTTTTATCCACCTTTAGTGGGAGGAATTTTAGGCCACAATACAGTCTGTCATCATACCCATTTCCCACATCTTTTGTCTCGTGTACTGGCACTCTTTGGCCATCACATGGCCCTTGCACCAATAAACACCGTATATCAGTCAATTTCATCAGCAGTGCACTCTCATATCGACATGGCGACCTCCTTAAATGCGGTAGATCGGTGTGTCAAGTTTCCCATTTCCGAAGCAGTAATGCGGCGTGGGTGCACGTGGGCCTATTTTGCAAAAATGCTTGTGAAAAAAAAAGTTTCGTGGCGAGGGTGAAGCAGTGAATGTGATAGCAAGAAATTAGAATGTCACACGAAGAAGGGTAAGCAACCCCATACATGCAACGCGTCTCTCAAGCACAAAGGACGCATAAAAAGAAAGCGCACAGGACGAATGCTGATGAGCAGCTGTCCCAGCTCGACACTGGAAGCGTGCTTCCTAAACAAACCAATAAGGATGCTAGAAAAGAACGCACGTGTATCAACAGGATTAATGTAAATTAACCATTGCGACAGTTGTTACTTCTTGGTTGTTGAGCAACGTGCTGTTAGTGTCAACGGTACGCAAGCCAATGCTTTTAAAGGCCTACTCCAGCGATTTTTCGAGGTCAGTAGATCTCTTCAAAATTGTCTGGGTACGTTCATTTACACGTTTGCGCCATTCATGCTACACTGCAAGCTTGAGAGTTTCACGGATTCTTTTCAAATGAATTTTATGGCTTGCCTTGAAACGCTCACTTTGCTTGCTAGAATTAATTGCAACATTGTGTGTCTGACATTGAGTTTTACCTGGCGGAAGTGACAAATCTGATATGCCATTGCAGCGTCTGCTTGTCTGTTACGGATTTTGTGGGTTTGGCCGGCACTTCCTTGGTTGAGCGTACGATTCCTTTTCCATGTTGGTGTGTGTGCGATAGGTGGCAAGTGGTGTTGCGTTATGAGCCACTAACGATTCGCCATACATTCACCTTAACAGTATTCTAGCCGATCCCGGCGGAAGGCCTGGACAAGTAGTGTTATCTGGCGGGCATTATGCGCAGTCAGGCAGGTCCGGGCAAATGATTAAGTCACATGAAAAGGTGCACTCAGTTGGGTTTCAGTGTCGGTATTACCGTTTTTTGCTCTTTAAAATTTATTTTCGAATTGGTGGAGTATTTCAGCTATCGGGCACGTGACAAAAGTGTCTCAGGAACATAAAAACACCATTATGATGGAAAAACCGCTGGAGTTGGCTTTAACGGCGTGGTGCCATCAAATTTCAAAGCTATAGCTAGCACCATGTGGGTTTAAAAATATATTTCAACTCACTTGCCAAGTTTACCTAAATGCTCATTCTCCTAATCGAGGCCCATCGCGAGCACATCCAACACTAATGTAGCTCTATAGGAAGGGCAACGAAAGTTCTAGTGACATCACACCAGATCTGTAGTCAGACGAGTGGCCTCCTGACTTTTGCCACGTACATATCGGTGATGCATCACCGCTGCTGCAGCTAGCAGCGCGTTGGTTTTGCAGGTGGTTGCAGGAGACAGGTGCGCAAGCTGATGATACTCAGCATGACGCATGCAAAGCTTTGTGATCAAGTGAGTAAGTCAGCTACGCTGCTACGTACCTGCCCAACTTGGTGCGCACAAACAGGAACTGAAAATTGTTCATATCAATAAAGCAACAAATTATATAGCGAGATTATTGCGAATTATATCTAGTGATTTTTTTAGGCTGCCGTGTGCAAGTGCTGCTTCAGTGCTTCCTCTATTTCTTTAATACATGCCAGATGCCACCAATTTAGCCGTTCACCACCTTTTCATCTAGCCCTTTACTACTCTCACCCATCACCTAACCTTTGCATGTGCTTTGCGGTCCGGTCATAAGGGAGAGAAACAATCATGTGGTGCCTCACGACGGAACTCATATGTAGTAATTTTTGTTCAGTTTTTTACAGATCTGTGGCGCTGCGCCTTGCATGCCTTGTGTTCTTTATGTTGGCAGTCATGCCGGCTCTGTAAAAGATACAGTGTTTTGAGATAGGCTGTCACCGTTTGGGGCGCCATGCGAGTAACCAGTGAAAAAGCATCACTGTGGCCTTGCTGCATGCACTGACTTCAAGATCGCTGTGAGGTGGAAGCAGCATTGCCTCGAGCCATAAAGAAAGAGCATGAAGGAACATATTTGACAGATGTATGATATTGGAGACGGGAACACGCCTATCGCATCTCCATGGAAAATTGCTCCGACACTTGTGTGACGCAACCAGCCCTGCCCTACATTTGGCGACGCATCATAACCACTTCCTGAACTAAGGTGGACTGACGGCTTCCATTGAGGAGCATGCGCTTTCACTGGCATTGAAATTAATAAAACAGGCATTGGCTGCCTGATAAGAGCTGTTGATGCTTAGGAGTCTGATTATTTGGAGTTCTGCAAACTTTTGAGTTGTGCGAGCCAAGTGCAAGCCCACCCATGATGCATCGGGACAGGCTGCTAATGAAACAAAAAGTGGAAACAAAATACACCCTATGCAATCTCGAACAATTTATTGACAACTGTTTGACGGAGTTTTTTTATGTGTCAGACTCAAAGCATCTGCATTTATTACTGAGTCCAAAAATGAAAGGAAATCATAATACGGGCATTGAAATGTTTGGACCATTACTTAATGCGAATTCTATTCTGCAAAAAGCCTCGCTAGCCTCCTCAGCATAGCACCTGAGTTATGGAATGAGGCATGTGGAACAGGAAAGGCAACGGGGGCTGCGAGATTACGCCGAAGTGATGGAAGGCCCTACATCAATAACGACACTCCCATAGATCTGTGCAAACGCTTGGTTTCAGTGCATGTTCTTTTCTCAGGATTTTGAACGCCCATGTCGCTTCGGTGACAGTGGTTCAGCTCAAACCTCTTTTAAACAACTTAGAAGCAACCTAGAATCCCTTAGCAACGACTTCGGAGCAATCACATTATACTTCAGAATCGTCCAGTTTTCTTGTTTCGAACTTTGCATGACTTGGTGTAAGCTTCCTCATTTTTTTTCTAGGACATGTCATGTCTCCAAAGCATTAATAATCCACTAATGCTTCTTGGACAGATACTGAAACTGTTGGGGCCATAATTCAGAGTCAAGCAAGTGCCTAGTAAATCAAATATGAATAATCTTGTGATGGTTAATTTCAGGATCGAAATTGCTAATGTTTTGGTCTGTAGATATACGTGGGAGTCAGATAGGGTATTTCGTTTCAATGGAATTGACTCAAGTATTGATTTAGCCAGCATTGAAGTAAGGGAAGTCTTGTGTACTATAAAGTGCCCTAAAGTGACTCTTGTAGCAATTCGTGCCCACGGGAACAGCAGTTTTTGTGCCGAGCTGTGACATTAATCATAAACAGTTATTTGTGTGTTAGTTGGTTCAGTGTTAAATGTGAAGTAACAGCACATATATATGATCACAAGAGAGAGAGAGAGAATGCACACGAGTGCTGTGTGTGTGTAGCGTCTCTTTCACAGTGGTTTTTTTACCCTGCTACTTTGCATTTATTACCTTTGACATTTATCAAGTGCTATTTTATTTTGCCTTTTGTTATTAAATCACATGTAAGCCCTTCATTAAAATTAAAATTTGGCAGAAGAAGTAACAATGGGGGTTTATGAGCTTTTTAATTTGCCTAGTGCAAAGTCAGTTTTTGAAAACTTTCTTCTTTTTCTCGCAGGCTTAGATACTGAAGGCATTTATCGTGTATCTGGGTTTAGTGATGAAATAGAAGCGTTGAGGATGTCATTTGAGAAAGGTGAGCATTTCTTTTCTTGTGAAAACATTTTTTCTGATGCTTACTATGTTATGTAATTATGTCTGTGCGTATACCTTTTCATCATGTGAACTCGGTTACCAGTACCTTTTTTTTATTTTGCTTCAGATGGGGAAAGCGCACCATTGAGTGCATCTACATATGAAGATGTCCATGTGGTGGCCGGGGTCCTGAAACTGTTTTTGAGGCTGCTACCGATACCCCTCATCACATTTGACAGCTATACGAAGTTTTTTGATGCAGTCAGTAAGTGCACATCACATTATTTACAGCTCTGTTCTGTTTAAAAGTGCGGTTCTTGTGAAACCAAGTACATAAACTTGAACCTACCTACTTAAATAACAGTTTGAACCTGTTTAGTGTAGCTGACTACTAATTTAGGCAATACAAATTTTGACATATTACATCATTTGAACACCTTCATCACCTTGCCACAGGAATCGTAGATACAATGTCTAAGAATAAATAGAATTTTAGATGTGTTAAAGCATGTCGTTCCGAATTTTTTACTCCGCTTCTTTATTCATCTGCCAGCACATCCTCTGACATGAACAAAAAGAACAAAAAATTTCGTTAGGTACTTTACAAGCAGATCCTTGAAACCAAAAGTATTAAAGCATAAGTAACTCATTGCCGGGCTTTCCCAAATGTCACATACTTATCTCGGGAGCGCTTGCATCGGATGGAATTGAGAGAATTGGCAGAAGGGCGTAGCACAAACAGCATACACTTTGTAACCCAAATGATAAGAGGCAAAAAATCGAAAGGGTATACGAAACCAACACTCACGGCCACAAAATTAACCCAATAACAGTACTAGCAAAATAGTCTGCAAACCACTCTAAATCCGTTCTTAGCCCTAGCCAATGCTCCTAATCCCATATGTCTCAATCATCGAACAATCTTACGGTTCACGTCCGCTTCTCTGCGAAGCCGTGTCGAGGTTTGTCATGTACGTCGTTGACTTGCTCTTCAACCTCCTACTGTCCCCGTCGGTTGGTCCCGCTGTAAGAGCTGCTCTGTCGTCGCCGGCATCCCGGACTTCTGCGTCTTCTTCAGCCTGGCTAGGCTAGGGTTAGTTTTGTCATGGACTCTCTTAATGGCAAGTCTGCTCTGCTGACTGGTGTGGGCTGTTGTCGTCCTGCCGCGAAGTAGGAGAGCAGCAAGTCGACCAGGAATGGCTGGGCAGGATGCGGCAAGTCTGAGCAGCCTTACTCAGAACGTTCTAGGTCAACGGCCCCACCACGAGCCTCTCACGCCACCATCCTCAGAACCGGGCGACTATACTGCTTCCGTCGTGGCAGCCACGCTCGTTTCCCAAGTTTTCGCAGCTCGACATCCCAACACGCAGTGCCAGCTCAAGCTCCGCGATTTGTCCTCCTGTCCCGGGTTGCGTGCCACCAGCCTTTCTGCGACTAATCTGTTGCGTCTACGTGGCTGATGCGCATGCTCTGGGCTGTCTCTTTTTCTTCTCTCACACTGTAGCAGCGCATCCACATGCAGCCTTGTGCCTCTCCTTTACTCATGGCACCAGATAACAAGATGAACTAAGCCAATTCAGCAATGCTGCACGGTTTGTTTGCCCAGATGCTTCATGTATTCAGTATCTGTTCTTTTTTTATGTAGGAAGTGAATAGTGATTTTGGTCGAATAATCTTGAATTGAATTCGATTAGTATATGTGACATATAAAAAAATGGGCATATTTATCATGACTTAAACTAACCTGCTATATTTTTAAAATTGAAATGGGGCTTCTCTTTTTGATACCTTTTCTTTTTGTTGTTCAAAGTAAGTTGAAATAATTTTGAGTAGTAGTAGGATTTGAGTTTCGGTAGGATCCAAGAGGTAACCTGTTAAGTACATAACATTTAAAAAAATTATTTATACTTACAGCATGTAACCGGCATAGCAATATTCTAAGCTTAAAAAATGATTGTTCGATTTAGGGGTAATATGTTGTTTAAAAGGGGCCCTGCAGTACTTTTTCAAGTAGCCATGAAATGGATTCACTGAAGAAGCTTACTGCCTCATGAATACACTGCCAGAAAAATTTTTAGAATCCAATAATTTGTCCAGACGAGCGGAGCTGTAAAGATTTTTTGCATGCTGCGATTGCATTCTCTCTCCTCTCGTGCCAATGGAAGTGCTGGAAGCTAAGCAGGGAGGGTGGCACGGAGAAAGGAAATACGTCATGCGTGCCTCATTACCTCGAGCACTTTCTCTCTCTCTCTCTCTTTTTTTTTTTTGTACTTCGAATATGCACCTTTTCAGTGCGATCATGCATGTACGCATGGACAAGTCGTGACCTTTTGCGGCGGCCCCAGTAAAGACCGAGTGTGCCATGCTCAAGTCAGCCAATAGCTGATACAACAGCTGTGATGAGGGATTTTTGAGCTTGTGGTGTCATTTGTTGAGAGAAGAGAGCAATTTTCAGCTGACTCTGGCAATTTTTTGTGAATTGCAGGCAGCGTGCTGCACTATAATATTTGGCTCGCGTGTTCTCAGTATTCTTGACTACCGATTGGCAGCATTTTCTGACCATGCTCAAAAAGTGTTGCGGAAACCATTTAAATTTGAAGTGGGGTAGAGCGGGTTTTTCTCAGACAGGTGCTTTCACGGTTGTGCATTCCTACACTGCAGGGAAACAAGGGTTTACATGCAGACTAATATACATTTATTCATTCAATGCGAATACTCGCAAAATTTTCAATAATTTAAATTGGAATCAAAGTGAATTCAAATACTCTACTATTCCTTCGAACATTAGAACGATTCCAATATTCGCACAAGCCTACTTTTATGTCTTCAGTAGCAGCATGCCATATTTGTGCTAACCTAACGCGTTCTGAAATGTAGCACATACCCAGTTTTCATGGGTTCAAAACCTTATAAAAGGCAGTGGAATATTCGATTACCATATATCAAGAATAAAACGGCAGCATGCCTCTATGTTTACGATCAAAAAAGGAAAAGTGAGGCAAGCAAAATTTGCTTTCATAGAGTGGAAATGGTGTCCTGGTGGTTCCTTCTTTTAGTTTTGCTGGATTTGAGATCGCCTCTGGATTGACCTAAATTGCATTGGGATTCCGGGGTGATTACTACTTCGATAAACTGAGTTTACATGGAGTTAGCTGAAAGTGCAATGCAAAACTTTTTGAGCATGGTGAGAACACTGCCAATTAATGTTACCAACCGTCCCAGATTTTACAAATCCGTCCTGGCTTTACAAAGTTTACCATTAAAAAGTTGTGTTGCTTTGAATCATCAGTTTTATAAGTGGCACCAGCTCCTCCCTCAGTCTCTGCACCAATGAAATGCAAGAAGCACTGGGCTGTGGATGTTTGAAAGAAGCCTGCTTTTATTCTGCTCTGAGAACATACTCATGCAGTTTCTCAGCTGCCGTGAAATTTACAGCATAGTCCATGCATTGGCTTGTACTCTAGTCTGTCTGCAGTGATGGCATGAAAGTGACTCACGTGCAGACCGTACGGGTCATACGCAGCAGTAATATAGTATTGCAAAGGTTTTTCCATGGCTTGTGGAAAATGATGTGTTCCCAGATTTTATTCCATTTCAAACTGAGCCCAAATTACCAATCAATGATTCATGATAATCTAATTCAAAAGAAACTGTGCGGTGAAAGAAAACAGAAACGTTGGTGCAGATATATCTCTCTCACATCTTTTCCTAAAATCTGTAAAGTCGAGACAGCACTCAGATACAAAACTAAACTTCGGCTTATAAACCTCTAGGGTTCTCGTAAAGCCTTTTCACTTACTTAGTGTCCTGCTTAGTTGTATGTTGCAGTTATCATGCTCCTTACAGAACATGCAATGCATTTAAATGCCATTATAATTATAAACTGCTTTAAACATGAGCCTACCTTCTGTTGTGCTTTGTGCTATCAATGTAGAAGCTAATATTTACAGAAAGCAAATAAAAAATGTTGTTGGTCCCTCTGTCTTATGAATTGATATAGCGGAAAACTTAAATGCACCTTCATATAAGCAGTGTAATGTTTACCGAATGTCTAGAACTTTCACATTAATATGGGTGCTTAGCCAGTATGGTACTATTTAACATGAATGCACTCCTGTTGACGCTGTGGGGCACATCTCCATCCCCACGACTAATCTTGATAACTACAACCTGCAACACTAGCATGCTCACTTATCATCATATCGGCATCACTAAAGAAATTGGCAGATCCCACGTACAGTGGGAATTGATGATATGTGAAGCACGATTGAGAAATGTTGATATGTCACTTTAAAATCAGTACAATGTTACGAGGTGGAGGTTAATGATGCTGTACATGTCTTCTGTGTCATGATTATTATGTTTGGATATGTGGTTTACTTTCGTAATCTATTCCCATCACGTGATACCAAATTTAGTATATGTGGAGCTAGCGAAACGGTCGTGAGCATGCTATGAGCATGGTATGTTGTCATGTTATTACATGGTACACGTGTCAGGATTATAATGTTTGCACCAGCCATATATTTCGCCATTCATTGACATCAGATAACACCAAATTTGGTATATGTGGAGCTAGCAAAACGGCCGCGAGTGCATCATGAAGGGCTCAATATACTCCAATGTAGCGTTGACGCGCGCGCAGGCTGGGCACAGCGACGCTACGTTAGCGAAACCCGAGCGCTATATAGTCTGACGACAGGTGCAACCGGCACGACCAGCGTCCGTTGACGAGGCCCGACGGCAGCCGGTGCGAAATGTGACATGCTGCATTTTGTGCCGATGCGTTACCCAGACAACACTGCGTCTCTCTTTTTCATGACGGAGGGATGCTGGGCGTGCTGAAACGTGCGTGTGTCAAAGCGATGCAGCGCGGCGCGCGCCTGCGAGTATTTGGCAGGACCGGCGCTTGGTGTGGCAACGCCGACGTGTCGCGACGAAATAAATGTCAGCGAGCCCGCACACCGCGCCACATATATATGTATTGGCGCCTTGTATGTGGCATGTAGTAATGTTCTTACACGACACACATCTCATGATTATCATGTTTCCACCAGTCACAAACCTTTGTCATCCATTGACGTCACGTACGGTAATACCAAATTTGGCATATGTGAAGCTAGCGAAACGGCCGCCAGCACATCATGAGCGTAGCATGTAGTCATGTTGTTGCATGACACGCATCTCATGATTGTCATGTTTGCACCAGCAACATACCTTCGTCGTCCATTCACGTACCGTAATACCAAATTTGGTACATGTGACGCTAGAGAAATGGTCACGAGCGCATCATGAGCGTGGCATGTAGTCATGTTGTTAAATGACACGCATGTCATGAGTTTCATGTTAGGGTCTGTCGCTTGTGTTCGCCATGCTATCATGCGGGTTTTGCAACATGCCATGTGAACGAAACCATCGTGAGAGCTGCAGGACCATAAAATGTAAATTGTGGTATTCATGACATACATGTCATGATTTTCATGTTATGACTAGTCAAATAGGCTGTTCATACAGTCATGTTATGCCATACCAAGTTTGGTATTGATACCATTATAGGCCCGCCGCGGTGGTCTAGTGGCTAAGGTACTCGGCTGCTGACCCGCAGGTCGCGGGATCGAATCCCAGCTGCGGCGCCTGCATTCCCGATGGAGGCGGAAATGTTGTAGGCTCGTGTGCTCAGATTTGGGTGTACCTTGAAGAACCCCAGGTGGTCTAAATTTCCAGAGCCCTTCACTATTGCGTCTCTCATAATTATATGGTGGTTTTGGGACGTTGCACCCCACATATCAATCAATTGATACCATTATCGAAACGGCCAGGAGAGGTAAAGGTCATAGGCGGCTAGATAGATGAATGGATAGATACATACATACATACATACATACATACATACATACATACATACATACATACACACATACATACATACATACACACATACATACGCACGCTCGAAGTCACCGAAGTTCGCTAAGAAATGCCTCGCATTTAAAAAAAGTGTGGGTCAATGATTACCTTGTATTTCTCGTGCAGTGTCAAGTTGGTGAGTGGCTTCCTGGAGGTAGGTTACTTTGGTGAAAATATAATCATAATTAAGGCTGCAAGTTGGGTTGCAATGCACTCAGTTTCAAGAACGAAACAGGCAGAATTCGTGGTTCTAGCCTTGAATGCGCGCAAGCGTTGAAAGCTGCTCTACGCAGGCAACGAGGCATCATATGCTAGTACTACTGCACTAAATGTATAGCAGTAACTGTGTTGTAACCGAATCAAATCACCGTGTGCATATTTTCTGCCAATAGCCTCTACTTCTCTAAGACTACAGAAACAGCATCCTGGCGATGCTCGTCAGTGTAATCACGTGGCCTCTGAGATTTGGCACTCTGAATCCTGTAAGCCATGGTCATGATGCAGGCCATTTTGCTTCACCGTTCGTGGATGGTGGCACCGCCCTTGCAAATGAAGAGTGCACTTAGAGGGAGCCAGCATGAGTGATAGAAGGCATGTTTTTGGAGCTCTGCACGCGTATGCCACTAGCCCATCGGGTGCTGCACCCTGCACCTATTATGGTGGGCAAAGAAGTTGTGGGTTCAATTCCTACCCAGTGGAAGTTTTTCTTCTTGCGTTTTGTAATAGTAATCTGTTCGTGTTCACTTACCCCCGTATTCAGAAATGCTGCTTGACTTCAACTTAACTTCCCGCAGACTTTAATGCAGCACAAGTGCGTTTCGAACGCGCCGTCTTTAGGCGGTGCCAAGGCAGCACGAACGCACAGACGCGTTTCAAACGTGCTGCATTCAACGTGGTTTGAAGTCAAACTCAAGTCAAGGAGCGTTTCTGAATACGGGGGTTACTGATGTCCCAGTGAAAATAAAGTCGGTAAAGTCTTGATGGGCCTCAGCATAAAACATCCTCAAGTTAAAATAAAGAAGATTGCCGTGGCTATGACTTGCCGTGACGATATGAGGCACAAGCATTACTCTAGTTTACAAATATTTTAATATTCATTAGGTCCTTTTGGCAGTCCTGACTTAATATGCGGAAGATATGGTAATACCATACTGGCTGGAGAGTGCACCTGCATAAAATACACTTTCAATTACCTATACTGGATCCATTCATACATTGCAAGTCGCGCATAGCTCAAAATCAGTTAGGCTCCCATTTGAGTAAATGAGGCTCTGTCGGTTACACTTGCTATCTTTCTTTCTTTAGAGAGCAACAAAGTGGAGGAAAAGCTGGAAGCCATGAAGGAAGCAGTAAAGTCGTTGCCGCCCGCTCACTACCAGTCGTTGAAGTATCTCATGAGTCATCTGCAAAGGTACTGTGTGTTTCTTCATTTGTTTGTATCGCTAAGCTTTATATCCCACATAGATTATTTTGAGCCCTGCTAGCAAAACTTCAAACTCTTCAGTATCGTAGGTGGACCCAAGCCCTTGTTTCAGCTGCACATTTTGTGTTATTTGGGTTGTGCATGTGTGTATGTGCATGCACTGAGAACGTATCTCATTTTTTATGATTATCAATCTGGGCTCAACTGTTGTTCTTTTTCACGTGTGAAAAAGTTTACACTGTGTAAAAACTGCGCAACATTGCACTTGCTGGTGTCAAAGTTTAGCCACCAGACGCCTTATTAATATTTGACATGGTACTTATCTCATGCGTGAACCTCTCACCAAAATTATTTCCTGGACACTTTGAGCTTCAAGCTTTTTGCCAAATGCAACCCTCTCGGAGTTGATTTTATTTATTGCAGATTTAAATTCTTCACAGCAGCCTGTTAAAAAAAAAAGAGAGTCATACACGACTGTTTAGTGACCACAATGGGAAAAATAGTTTTTTCATAGGTGTGGATGCATGCATGAATAGCAAAAATAAAAATAGGAAATAAGCTTATATTAATAATTAGAAATGTTCATTAGAGTAAGTACATTTTACAAGCTTAGAAAACTGCGCAAACCCGAGTGCTGTCATCTTTGTACTACTGAGGAGTGTCATGTCTTTGATCAAGTTCTAATTTCAAACTGGTTAGAGATTCTTTGTCTCAACAACCGCCATTTAGTGGTTCTGATTTAGCATTCGGGGAGTATTCTGTATTGAAGGAATTGCTACTCGGCCTCACACAGAAACAGGAAGCCCGGTGTGCACGTCTGTGCAGTGACCACTTTATAGCTGCTGATTGTGTGTAAGAAAAAAACTGTTCTGTTCTGCGCTCATCACAAAATTCGAAACGTGTCATATCCATTCAGTAACCATACCATTGGTTTTTCAGAATTTCCGTACCACTTTGTGTCCTTGTGAAAATCATAAAGCCATTACACTACACTATGGTATTTCATCAACTTTATTTATGTGTATACATACTTCTTTCATACTTTTTCCTTTGTGGTTTGTTGCATTCTATCTTTATTGTTGTTGTAATTCACACCTCTGTATGCCATAGTCTGGTGCACGAATCTAGTCCGTGCGCAAAACATTTCTCAGATGTTGAATAAACTGAATAAGCTAAACTAAAGCTAGGTTGTTTAAGTATGTGACCACTGATGGTAATGAAATTATTTTGCAAGATAGCTTTTGTAGAGTAGTATTCGTCGGTATTAACATCCCTCTTTAGGACAATTGGGAAAGTAGGAATGCATTTCACTGCAAGTTCAGTGATCTCTGTGTCGTAAGTCCCACTTGTCTCAGAGCTTCCACTTAGTAGACAAGGCTTGTGCTCTTGTCAGCTTTAATTTTGCTAAGTTACATCGTGTTAGAACATAATTGGCACATATTAATGACTTATCAGTCACTTGATGCTTTTTTATTAGTGGTTAGCATACAAATTCTGGTATGAACCTTGGTTTTACAGAATTGCTTTTACAGTCCAATCTCGCTATAGCAAACTTCATATTGATGTGTTCTTTTTATTAGTGACTTTCTCGCAAATCCTCCTCCAAATGTCCATTGGTTTAACGTACAAATCAAGGTGTTAGAAGTATTTTAGGTGGACCAATGGCATCTCCAGAAGCAAGAAACTTATGTCCCCGCTTTGCGGGGCAACTCGCTTTGGGGCCGCAAAAGCTACTCGGAAAAAAAAAAACTTCTGCCCTCATTTGAAGAGTGCAAAAGTAAATAAATTAATAAAAGCGGCGAAAAATTACTACATTTTGACGATACAGCGTAGGTAGTTGTGGAAAATGTTTCATTCACCACATCGGAGGTTCGTGATAGGAGCATATGTTTTCGCTTGCACAAACATCAGATTATGAATTCAAACAGGTGGCGGTAAAGTCCTATGTAATTATGACAAAAGTTAGTTCTTGGTTGAAGTAATGTTTACGTAGTAGTTAGACAAAAATAACTTGTTAGTCGAAGTCTTGCAGTAGAAAAATGTAATTTAGATTTTTGTCGCAACGGTCGCATTTCGATGAAGCTAGCCCGAGTGCTGTGTGATGAGAAGTGTGTGAACTTGAGCTTCTTGGTACGTACTTAAAGTAAAAAAACAGTGCGAAAAAATGAAAGGTGAGAGAGAGACGAAACACCATTCTGCGATGCCAGTGCACGTTAGAGAACACTACATTGTCGAAAATTACGAAGCCTTTCACTACGGCGTGCCTAATATTCATATCGTGGTTTCAGCGCTTAAAACCGCGAATATATTCATTGTTAACAAGCGTAGTTCTCGCACGAAGAGAGGAGAACAGCACATGTAGGTCTATAGAGCTTTTTCAAAGCAAAGGAGCAACTATCAACTCAAAAACGGCACATTTTATTACAGCTACGTATAGATGCATTTATATCTAAACGGCCACTAACAGGATAGGACAGCACTTCAACTCAAAAGGAAAGCAGTATTGAAGACACCTGTGGAAAACGAAAGCTATGCATTTTGACTTCGAGGTAGCAACTTACTAGGCTAGTTTTGAAAGCTTGCACAACTTTCAAGACTTGTTCGCCTCATTCTGTTTCATTTGTTTGCAATACTGGCACATACGCATCTTACGCAATAGTGGAGCACTTGTGCTATCATGTCTACTTTATGTTCTTTACATGGAAAGGAGAGGTTGTAATTATCTATCACAAAGTCAATAGTCAAATCATACACTTTCTTATCGCCGGCGTGCTTCTGAAACTTTTGCTTAGCTTCTTTAAAAAGATCATATAGCGTGGCATTAGGATGCGTAAGTCCTTCCCTTGTCTTCAAGACTACAAGAGCTGATGCAGCTCTTGACATATCAGATGTCCCAGTCAGTCCAAGCTTGCACTTGGAACAATTTGTATTTTTTGGGAGCTTTCGACAAAGAAACCTGCATACATAATAAATTATGCAATCGGTAACGCTGTCTGATGCAGGCATTGAGTTAAATGCGTTGTCGCACTCAATCTCATCCTGCATCAGTCAGTCCATCAAATCTGTTCTTAAGCTCATCCAAGCGTGACAGGCTGGCCAGATCCTCCTTGAAAGCTGATGTTTAATCATGCAAGCTAAGGAGTCGTTGCTCTTCACTATGAAGTAACTGGGAATTCCTGACTTGGGTGGCTTTACGAGACTGTAAATGGATAGCATACTGTATAATTGCTAGAACGTCAGCAAGCAGGGATGTTCATATTGGCCTCCAGCCAGGCGTAACACCAAAAAACTTTTCCGAAACATCTTCGTTAAACTAAGCAGTTAACACATATTTGAAGTCACATTTCTTTAAAGCAGTTTGACAGCTGAATTGTCGGCAGAATAGTCTCTCGCAAGCCCTCAGCAGTGGTTTGTGAAAAAAAAAAAAAATGTGAGGATCAATTCATCCTGTCTTTACTTCTTCCTCACAATTATTGAGCCCTTGTAGAAAGGACTCTAGCACTTCAAAATCTTTTCCGCCTAATCATACCCCCGTATTTACAAATGCTCCTCGACTCTCCTTTCACCCTTCACTAGACGGAGTTGAGCACTGCGTCGCCGCTGGGCTGAAAATGAAGCTGCGCTATTCAAGAATCGTAGCAGATTATCGCTGATATGCATTGACTTTCCCTGTTTAGAGACGGCGCTCCCATCGGCCTTCTCAAGTGAAGGTGAAGCGTTGAGTGGAGGGACATTCTAGAATACGGGGGTTAGACCTTCCTTAAGGTGTCGGCGATTCATGGCATCAAAAATGTGGTTAAATCTCACTATGAAATCGACTTTTTTCGTGCATGGTGTTGTAGCCAGATTTGCACCGGGGCACAAAACACTGCTTTGTCATTTCACGACTTGCTCACACAAACAGCATGGACTCTCATCGTGCACACACAAAAAAACAACAACAAAAACAAGAGTTCAACATGACGACAACTGCTTCGTCTGAACAACATCGTGGTCTGAACGGCGCCTGCTCGCCACTCACACGGCTGCGAGCCACGTGACTGCTCCTGCCATCTCGTGGCGCGGTACAGCGGAGGAACCAAAGTTGAGCGCAGTGAGCGCGTGGCTTTGGCGCTCCGTCGTTCCACTTATACTTCTAACACAGTGGTACAAATATTTTATTACTACTAATTTCAGAATACCGAATGTTTTGGGATAACGTATTGAATGTTATGCCCCCTATATCTATGCAACACTTCAAAATTATGGATAGCGATATGAAAGAGCTACTCGCGGCGGTTGTAGAAATGATGCCCAACTCCGTACCTGCCACTATCATCATCGTTATCATCAGAACGCTCGCGCATTTCTCCATCTGCCCGCCCTATTCAAATGTTAGATAGCCCTATCACCATCATCATCGCCTGGTACTTGTTTTTCTTGCCAGGCCTTGCCCTGTTGCTTTTGTTTTTGTTGGGCAGCTTTACCTGTGTGCTTGTTACACGGCTATTTTCTAGCCTTTTGGTTGGTGGTTGAATGTTTAATATGAGCTCCGGAAGGAGCACGAAACGAATCCTACGATAGAGAGAAAAATGCGACGCGAGTGACCTATGGGATGAAGTCGTCGATGATTACCTGTACATGCTTCACTAACGCTCAAACCGTATGCATAGTGCAACAACAAAGCGTGCACGTGAGCTTAGCTGATGGCCGATATGACCCATACCACTTATTGTGAAAATAAAACGGTGACGAGAGCGAAGACGACGTTGAAACAGCACACACAAACCAATGTGAAAAATTGGTATTTAACTTTAATGCTTCGCTGTGCATAAGAAGGATGCGCACGCCCAAGAGTTCGTCTTTCAGCAGTTGAACTGCCAAGATTAGGATAGATCGCACTCTTCCTCAAATGAATGTGCCCTGGTTCCTTAATATTTCATGTTTGCTTGTTTTTTTGGGATCATTGGAGCGTAACGCAGTCGCGAATATATACACACCCCAGGTAGGTGACTCACGTGTTTGGGTTTACGTCTTTTGGACAAGTTTTCAACCCTTTTGCTGTAACGACCTTTCAAAATAACGAATAATTTTTAGCAGTCCCTTGAGATTTGTTGTATCGTGATTTCATTGTAATTTCATTCTTTCTAGAATGTCCGCTTAGGAATACTTGGACACTGTGGTCACTGCGCCAGCACCTGACCGAAACGAGGAGGCCTGCCCTATTGCTTTTAAATTATTTTAGGTATTCAGTTTAAGTGCTGTTTATTTATTTGTTTAATAAACATATTCTTTTAGGGGTTAGGAAAAAGTGGTATACGCTCAAAGTTCATTATAACAAAGTTTTATCTTACCTGACAATGAGTTCATTATATACAAAAATTTGTTATAAAGGTTTATTTCTAACACTATATTTTCCGATGGAGGCGGAAATGTTGTAGGCCCGTGTACTCAGATTTGGGTGGACGTTAAAGAACCCCAGGTGGTCAAAATTTCCGGAGCCCTCCACTACGGCGTCTCTCATTATCATATGGTGGTTTTGGGACGTTAAACCCCACAAATCAGTTAATTCTAACACTATATCTATTGCAAGATTATCTTTACTTACTGTGTTATATTGGAATAATTATATCGATTTTTGAGTGTACTTACAAATCATTGCCAGTAAAGAACCAGGAGATATTGCAGAGCATCTTTTAAGTTGATGGAGAATTTTTCAGTGTCAGTAATGGGGATGATGGAGCAGGAGGTTGGTGTCATTTCATCGAAGTTCATTTGCACAAAAGAGTCATGATACATGTGACAAGTTAGCAAACTTACGTAAAAACGATGTTCAACTCTGGATTATCCATAGCATAAAATGGGTGTTGCAAGATCAGGTAGTATTGAAAGTTGGTCTTGTTTGTTAGGTGGCATCTTTGTTACAGTTCAGAAACGATGAAGATAGAGTAAAACACAAGGGACACAGACAGCCCACGCGCATGTCTCTTCTGTTTTGCTCCATATTCACCGCTTTGTGCTGTAGCAAACATGCTAGGGCAGGTGTTCAATATCTAGTAACTTTTTGCCCGTGGAGGACGTGCATTTGCGAATGTCCATCGCTGATGCAGGGTCTCGGAGCACCAGAAGAAAAACCTGATGTCACCAAAGAACCTGAGTACAGTGTTTTCACCAACAGTGATGCGGACACCCGACATCATGGGCATGGGTCTGGACCAGATGAGTGCCTGGCACACCGAGAGTGCCGTCGTCGAACTGCTCATCAGCTATAACCGGACCGTGTTTGTCCAGTAGCCAGTCTCGCGAAAGGCCGCTAGCTGCACGCACACCTTCAAAGATTGCCCTACCCCTGCGTCATGTGTGGACTCGCCAACAAAAAGTTTATCGATCTGTGACGTCATTAAGTGAGCTTGAGGCTACGTCTGAATCCGTCGGTCCATTTTTCCAGTCTGAATTGAACAACTCTGATGTCAAAACTGAGCTCAGGGATATGTTGATATGTATCGCATATTCCGCGAGGTGCAAGCGACCGGAATGGTGTTCTTTGTGAAGCACTTCGTATTGTTTTCACGTCCGAGCTGTAGCCAGGCCTTGCTTGCAAGTGTTTGGCAACGCTTGCATGCACAGCTTTCATGCATTTGCTGTGCTTCCTATGTTTCTTATATGCGACTCACAACTTTCGGTGATACAAATGCAGATTTCCTGAATGAGCTAAAAGAAATTTACTGCCTAGTTTTTCAGTAAAAGCGGCTGTTAGAAAAATGAGTGCTTTGGCATACACTCTGCATATCTATTGTCTGGTCATGTGGCTTTTTTCTAGTAGCATGTGATGAGCTTGCAATGATTCTATATTTCAAGTTCGGATTCAGCAAGAAGCATTCTTTTAGTGCTTTCAGAGAATGTCTGCTTCACTTTCGATTCATGTTGCAAACAGCTTCTTTATGTTTAGCCCGAGGTTAATCGCTCACAATTGCGGCACTTCTCACTGAAGCAGAACTCAATCATTTTCTTTAATCGGTTACCAAGAGAACATCTCGTCATGTATGACAAGCTGAATACTTAGTGTCTTTCTCACCGCATCTTTTTACGCAGCTTCTGACACTAGACATTTCCTCATTTTGCATTTGCTATCGACCTTGCTTATTTGTATTTTAACATCTTATTCATGAACATGTTGGTCGCAAAGCAGTAGATGCAGACCCATAGCCAGGAATATTTTTCAGGGGAGGAGGGAACGTGCTAAGTCCTTGACTATTTTATAAGGACACCTGCTACGGGCTAGTTCACGCCCCGATGAACCTAAATAAAGTTTCTTCATACCATACCTATCTTGATTACTTTTTTTGCGTTAAAACGCCCCACTTCATCAGGATTTGGAGGGGGAAGGGAGGTGGCCTAGGGCTCTCCTTTTGGCTTCAGGCCTGAGTACACGTTGGTCATTTTCTGGGCATACAGAATTTCAGAAAGTGGCACTGCTAACTGCAGTGCAACTGAGCACTTACCGAGGATCGAAGCAACGCATTTTCATTTTACTCTGATTTCGATGTGGTTATTCCATCAACAGATCACAGCCTGACCAACCTGGAAGCGGAAAGTGCTACTAAGACTGATGAATTAGCTTTGAATCCAGGCCTCTCGAAAATGGGCTTTCCTATTTGTTTCTTAAGTCACGGCACAGTATTTGAGTAGGTTCTACAGCAGCGTGATATTTTGTTCCTCGAACCATGATGCATGTTACATGCGTAGCTTTCACAGTATTTGCTCCCTTCTACTTGTCCGCATTCATGGAGTTCAGGTATGCATAATGTTTCCATGTTCTTTTTTGCTCATCCAACAGATCTGGGTGTTAAACGAGGTCGTAATGGTCATAAAACCTGCATAGCATAGTACACTTACTTAGGTACAGTGTATTCTTGCAGTAACACAAAGGAGTTTTGCTTTGTGATACAACAGTGTGTTGGTGTAGAGAATACTAAAGCAAACACTGCATAATGAGAACTTCGACACTTCTAGGGCCTGTACTAAAAAAGTTGCCGCAGAATTTTATTTACTTTTCTGTTCAGCAGTGAATAAATGGGCAAAAAAAGGTGAAAGCATTCAGTAGTGGGTAGAAGGGTCAGTGGGATGAAAAGGGGGGAAAAAAAATCCTGTTCTACAGAATAAAGGGCAATTTTTTGTCTTCAATAATTTTTTCTATTCGAATGAGAAACATTACGCTACAGTTTAAAAGAATCTGAAGTAATGTCTCATGTTTTGACTGAATTTCAGTTTTATTAGCTGCTATAATCAATAATTCATGGGGTTTAACATTTCAGGGCCACATCATGATTGTGAGAGATGCCGTAGTTGAGGGCTCTGGAAATTTTGCCCACTTGGGGTTCTTCAATGTGCACTTAAGTACACTAGCTTCGAGCATTCTTGCTTCCATCAAAAATACATTCGCCGGGGCTGGGATTCAATCCCACGACCTTATGGTCAGCAGTCAAACGCCACTTGACCATCGTGGTGGGTTTGTTTTATTTGTTTTTGCATAACGCAATCGTTTAATGTAATCTGGATATTTCCACTATGTGGTTTTCTTAATCTCTCTTGAATAAACTGTCAAACTCAAGTGATTCAGTGATGAAACCAATGGTCATAATAATCAGGCAGCAACACAAGTAAAGAATGTATTGTTTAGGCATCGTAATGGGTTTTTAAACAACAATACTTGTTTAAAGCTTGGCAAATGTGATTTTCGATTTCCAGTTTGTTTTGAGGTGAAGTTTTTCATGACATTGAGGTACAAGACATTATTGTTGTGTGTCTTGGAATCATATGCTTGCCTTTGGTGGATCTAATTCTGTTGAAGGTTCTGGTGAGCATACTGAACTTGGTAATGAGCCTTTGCTGTGCTGCATTTTGTTTGAAGCTACAATTTTGGTTAGTTTATTGATTAACTTAATCGAGTCTCACTGCAGTGACTACAGCTGTGTTTAGCCTTCTGAATCTTTTAAGTAGGTAAGTGTGCTTCTCAGAATTCTTTTATTTAACATCTGTTTCGTGGGGACTCAAGTTGATATTTTAACCTGTTTCGTATTATTTTGTAGTGCACTTTTTGATTGAGTCACATTGCTCCGTTGTGCTAGCACATCGAAGTGGGAATTTTCCAAAGATGTTTAAGCTCAGACATGGTTGTTGTCCCAAGGCTTAGGTGTTTTCTAACTGTATAATTTCGTATGTTTAATGGCTTTGTTATTTTCATTTTATATTATAGATCTGTTGTTGATTACATCGTATTCTCAACATTGCGCGGATGTTGCAGCATACTAGCCAATTTAAGATACTTGCGGTGCATGTGCTCTTTCAGGTATTGTAACTGCAACGCTGGAGCAATAGGAGTTGTGAATGTACGTTTTTATGTGACCGCATTCAGCTATGTTCCAAGCATCCTGTTATTGAACTGTATACATACAAGCTTCGTTTTGTGCGTTGTTTTTACAAAGTGAAGTGATTTAGGAACATAATTTCTCATCTGTTCTGCTTGGTGAACAATGAGAGTGTCAAGCCACTTGTCTTTTTTTTTTCTGTTTGCGTTTCTGTCGACTAAAATAAACAGGCCTGCACAGTTTTCTAGGGTATTCACCTTTGACCATCATTGTCCTTTATGATATGCTAATCTCAAAGACTTGTATTTCAGCTATGCAAATTAGATTTCTGACAAGTTCTGATGGAAGATGAACATGGCAGCACTTTTTGGTTCACTTTGAAGTAGTATGGCTGGTTGTTGAGATTCCAAATAGAGAGCAGCTGTTTAGAAAAAATCGTTGAGCAGTGCAACCATGAATGTTTGACCAACACGATAGGAGTGAACTGAAAGGTTAGTGTAATAGTGTGTTTTAGCTAGGCGGTGGATCATCCTGAACATACTTGCAGTGCAAATAGAAGTAATTATGGAAATGGGAAACAACTCAACCATCACCAAAACTTCTTGATCCTAGTAACTCAGGAAGTTGTTTTAGTATGCGCTGTGCTTCCTAGTCCTTTTGCTTTGGTGGTGGGTCTGGTGTTTGTGTCACAAAATTTGAGCACATCGACAAACACTGAGCAGCAGTGATCAACTGTGTAGTTAATTAGTTGCTCTCAGTTTGCCCTTGGAATTTGATCTTGGCTCTGAAATTCATGTTGCTCTTCACAAGGTGTGTGACTTTACGATGCACAGAAATGGAAAGCTGCTTTTATAATCTGCCAATGATATCCCTATCACACGGGCCAAATAAAGTGCACTTTGTCTTTGTGCACTTTCATTCGCTACTGCCATTCGCTGGCTGTCACATGTCGCTTTGTGACATTCGGTACAAAGTGCACTCTCCGGTGAGTGCGGTCGTCAAGCTCGCTTCACTACGCCGGAGTGTCTAGCCTCGGTAGCAGTGGCTCGAGAATAAATAAGTTGTTGTACAAAGCTCAGTTGATAGAATTTTTTACACTGTTGTTTTTGTTATTAGGAATGTTTTGATGTAATAAAATTAGCACTCAAACGTCATGATAACAAAGTTGCATATTACATGAAAATAAGTTTGTTATATCCAAAAATTCATTACGAAGGCCTATTCTTAACACTATATTTATTGCAAGACTGTTCTTCATTTACTTCATTATAACGAATAGTTCTTTATATCAAGTGTACCTTATAATACTAATCTGCTTTTCTCACTCTCATGCAGTTTATATAGCCACTGCTGCCAGGTGCATGCCCAGCACTCTCTACACAATAGCCACAGCTGCCGCATTTGTATGTGAAGTTTATTTTAAGCTCTGCTTATAGCTGTAACACACTGTTCGGAAACATTGCCTGAAGTAACAAGTATCTGCTGTGCTACTCAATCACTCGCCGCCATCACCATCATTTCTAAAGTACACTGCTCTTTCTCGCGTGGCAGCATGTCACCAAGTAACATTTCGGGGGCGTAACTGCACTCGTTCGAAGTGAACTGAATTCGCCCATGTGGTCGGTGTATTGACCTATTTTATTAGTGCTCGTCAAGGAGTGAATCGATTATTCATTTACAACACTGTGTCTTGCGAGCTCACCGTGTTTTCACTGCAAGTGTAAGCCTTATGATGTGTCCAATTTAGCTATTCTCAGTTTCGTCTAGTGTAGTAGTGACAATTTTTTCAGTTGTCTATTTATAAGATTTTTTAGGAATGGTGTTTTTTTCTCCAGTTCTCCTTGTAGTGCTTTTATTCTCTGAATAAATATATTGTGCGATATATATATATATAGATATTTTTGGCAAGCTCAGAGAAAGCAAGTCATAATGTGACGTATGCATTTTCTTTCTTTTTTTTCCTTCTGAAGGACTCATTTAATTTTGTTTAAATGCTCTATTTCTGTTACGTGGTTATTTGTGCATTTATAATGTGTGATGCTTTGTATTAGTTTGTGACAAGTATTTAGGAGTATTACCATGGTGCACATCATCGGCGCACCATACGAATGCTTTTAATAGCGTATTAATTTATGTTCCGGTTTGCTGCGTAATGCATAGGTGTTATTTGCTACACAGAGTGGGGTTTATTTGACGTTTCTCATACTGGTCGATGCATTCCAATAAAACTTCTTTTTTGTACGCCTACATCAAATTGGTTCCGTCCTTCTATCATTTCTTCATAATTTTATGACGCAATTATTCAGTCTCCTCTAAAAGCAATTTTTTATCATGTTTTTCTCATCAACACAAGTACACTTTTTTTTTTTAATCCAGACATTCAAGGTTATGCCACTTCAAACACATTACATTCCCGGGTTTCATTTGTAACTTGCCCGACCTACATGGTCGAATATGCGAAGGCCACCTAAGCCCGAAGCATGTGATAATAAATTTTCTTTTTAGTGGAAACAAAATTGACACTAAGGATGGCAGTGGTAAAATTTGGGTGTGTTAGTTACGGTTCCTGCCAACAATGTTCACAGCACTTGCGTAAGTTACTCTTCATAATAAAAGTGTTCATAGCATGTGCATATCAACAAAAATAATCATGCCCTATTCCTCCGTTTCTTCTTTTTTCTCGTGGTCGATGGCTCGAACAACGTGTTTGGGCAATGTGCGACTAAAATGCGTAAAAGGGAACTTCCATGAAATGTTTCAATGAAGTCGGCGTACATGAGTCGACAAGCCTTTTCAATACAGAAAGCCATCAGAGAAACATTTCAGCTCAAGTATGTGTAAATGTTGACGAAGTCTTTAAAGGGACACTAAATTCAAATAACAATTTATGTCAGACTGAAAGTTCAATGCATGACAAAATTTAAAATGACAATAATATCAACAGCAGTGCCCTACTTAGCTGAAAATTAGGGTAAATGCACAAGGACACATTTGCTGCAGTAGGACATTCTCCAAATGGTACCGATGACATCTGATGAACCACGTACTAATAATCACTAGTAGGTAATCGATCCACCCTCACTAAATAAAGAACCTTCTGTGCCTCAAGAGATGCAAATAAATGCTGCTTGTTCATTTCTGTTTGATTCATGAAAAAAAGAACCACCGGACTTTACTATGGGGAATGGCACAAGTGGTTCGAAAATTCAATTTTCGCGTAGTTAAACTGGACAGGTCTTGCCATCTAGCAGGGCAAAGTTGAACCAAAACACGTCCGCCATCTCTGAGTCAATGGCAGGAAATTGATCAATGGCCATTGCTGCTGCTGTGGGTCTCGCTGCTTTTGTTCTGTCTACTAGTGTCGGCGATCGCGCAGTAAAGCCAGGCAACGTTGTGCACAGCAACAGTGATGTTAGTCGGTCTGATTCTTGAGGCAGGTAATTTGAAGTGCGCTAAACCAGTGCAGGCCACTAAACCATGATTTTATTTCATAATAAACCCTTCCTTGGCACAAAACTAACACTTTAAGGTTTCGGGACCGCAATCTCAACAATGAACGTCGACTTAATAGTTTCCATTAGTGTCTTTTTACATGTGATAGCTATTTGATGAGACAGGATTGATTTGATTGATTGATTGATATGTGGGGTTTAACGTCCCAAAACCACTATATGATTATGAGAGACACCATAGTGGAGGGCTCCGGAAATTTAGACCACCTGGGGTTCTCTAACGTGCACCCAAATCTGAGCACACGGGCCTACAACATTTCCGCCTCCATCGGAAATGCAGCCGCCGCAGCCGGGATTCGAACCCGCGCTCTGCGGGTGAGCAGCCGAGTACCTTAGCCACTAGACCACCGTGGCGGGGCGTGAGACAGGATAGCCATGTGACAGAGTTGTGGTATGATTGGGCAACTAATATGCATGAGGCATTGCGAAAACAAAATACCGACGAATATTGATACTCCTTTGTGTTTGTGAAAGCACATTTTGTTGCATACTTCTTTCAGCTAGGCTTTGCGAGGCTGACAGTAGTTCTGAGATAAGTTCTTGCATTTATTTGAATTTTTTTGTGACCTCTCACCGTTTGCTTTATATATGCTCTTTAGCTGGCACATGGCGACACAGTCTTCTTACAGTCCACTGTAAGCTGTAGATCCCGATATAATTCTTTTGGAGCTACTGCTACTTTTTTGACAGATATTTTGTGACTGATCCACAGGTTATGATGGCACACAAACATTGCAGTAAATAAGCAACGAACTATCTGTCCACCCCCTTCTTAGCACTTTCACACTGTTTGTTATTTATGTGAATGTGTGTACACCCTGTTGTTGTGTGCAAAGTCTTGATATCAAGAGGGGCATTTTATTTTTAAAAAATAATGTTTCGGTGTCACAAAAACACCTTATGAGGATGAGTTATTTTGAGCCATTCATGATCACAAGACAGCTACTTCACCACAACACTTACATTCCATGTGTGTGGTAGCAGCTCTCAAGATTAATAGTTCACATGCGGAAAGATGCCTTCTGTTGCATGTAGACATGATCCAAACATTAATTCCTTCTTCTCACAGAACTTGTGGAAGTTTTTTAAACACGAAAGTGCTTTATGCTTGGGTGCACCAAGACTTCACTGATGGATTTACATCACAGATATGACATTGTTAAATGTACACCAACAGATGGTAAAGAAAAAAAACTGGACGCAAAAGTTCCATTACCGGGAATCGAACCCAGCCCCGCTTCGGTGGTCTAGTGGCTAAGGTACTCGGCTGCTGACCCGCAGGTTGCAGGAACGAATCCCGGTTGCGGTGGCTTTTTTTTCGATGGAGGAGGAAATGTTGTAGGCCCGCGTGGTCAGATTTGGGCGCACGTTAAAGAACCCCAGGTGGGTGAAACTTCCGGAGCCCTTCACTATGGCGTCTCTCATAATCTTATGGTGGTTTTGCGATGTTAAGCCCCACTAATCTATCAATTAGGAATTGAACCCACAACCCTTCACTCCGCAAAGCACAATGTGAAACAAATCGTGCACAAAGCTAATGTTTTTCAGCGTAATAACGGTAACCTATTTAGATGCACCATTTGGTGTTGGCAATACGCAGAGCTCGGAGGTACATGTTTTCGTGATCACAGGCAAGATAGCACGAAATGTGGGCTTTAAAGATTGTTGCCCCGCTCCTTGCAATGCATGCGAGCCCCTAGCCGCACATTGTTCAACAGGGCGTGCACACCCATGCGCGCACGATTATCTTGTGATGGAGGCAGTCAATATGTATCAGTCTTTCGCTGCGAGTTTGCATTGAAGTCACAGAGTGCACGAAGGTCCCTTCACTTGCTGCAGCAGCCGTGTTTGCTAAAGGAGTGTGTTGCTCATGCACGAAAAACTAGCAACTATCAGTAACAACTGACAGTTGCTAGTTCACGCTAATCCTTTGTGTGTTCTTTACGTGCATCTTTGTGCTTGAGTAGCACGGTGCAAGTTTCGTGCTGCTTGCTGTTCTTTGCGTGACAATCCAGTCCATTACTATCGCATCCATTTCTTCATGCTTGCGAAGTGAAATTTGTTTGTGAAGAGAAGTTTCACTTTTGTGTTGTATATAGAGTAGACTCTCATTCGATGGTACTTGAAGGGACCAAGAAAATATGTTCCATTTAACAGGAGTTCTGCTTACTGAGAGATGATCAGGGGTGCAGAATACAAAAACAAACTAATCTTGTCAGATGTATTTGTTCCATTTAAGCAGCAGTTCTGGTTGACAGATTTTCTTTTACCGAGAGTCTACTGTACGCCGAGTGTTATGATAGAGGAATCAGCTATATTTTTTCTAACAGTCACATAAGCATCTCGGATATATGAAGCCAACAAATATGAAAATGCAAATGCACCCTTAGCATGTGAAGCTTTATAGTGAAAATCCAAGTGATTCGCTCACTTTTATTTTCCACATCTTTGGATTACATTCAGATTGCTTATTTTATCCAATGTACGTTTATTTTCACTGTTCAATTATTATTATAACGCTACCTTTGGGGGTAACATTGTAGTTGGTTAGAACACAGTAGACAGTTCTTTGTGAAATAGATATGACTGCCAGGCACATTCCTGTAGAAACAAAAAAGAAACAGAAAACACTTAGTCATGCATCTGAAGGATAATATCTGTTACGGCTCTACAGGTGGTTCAGAAACGGGCATCAATACACTGCAGCTGGCTTCAAGCTCATATGCGTGTTTGTTCATTACACTTCTCCCGCTGTGATACATCTGTGCTACATTACCGCCTGTTGGGTTCACGTTTAAGACACTTGACCGATTCGTCATTTCAGACTTGTTAATTTGTGTCTTCAGTGTGTATAACAAAACTTATGTTTCTGTTCACGCTGAGTTGAATGTCATTCTTGGGAGTGTGTTAAGCAGGTCAAGTCATTGACTACTCTCAGATAAAAAATTATTTTAGACCCCTGGCCTCACATCACAAGCTTGTGAAGTGGTGTGGGCATTACGACCGACCGCCAATTTTGTCGATGGGCTGCGAAAAATTTTTCTTCACTCATCAACTACATGTACCCATTACGGGGCTTCAGTAAGAAACATGAGATTTTCTAATGTTGTGTAAGCTATTGATCAGCTATAGTAGTATATTGTGCTACTAGACTTGCTAGTACTATGTTGTGAACACACTGCTAGCTCCCTCCCATCTTCCACTATGTTTTTTTTTTTTTTCATTTTTAATCCTATACCTTGTACTTAAGGTTTCAAACTGGATGCATTCCAAGGAGGTCTCTCTATCATGCACCCTTTTAATCCAGCTCTTTCACATCCTCATCATTGCATTATGGTAATTACAACTGCTGTTGTATTCATGTTTAAAACAGGCACAAACCATTTTTGTGGTCATTCGAATCCACACGTTTCGGAAAATGCTTGTGATAATTATGAAGTCTAAAGCACCGAAAAGTTAGATAACTGCTTTTCGTCAGATCATTATCTCTGGAATGAACATTACGATGCTTGTAATCATCAGTTGAAGAACTGAATAATGCAGGCAAATTAACTTCCAATTAGCAATTTAGACACAGGTTTTTAGTTACCGCAAAGGAGCAAATGCCGAAACGATGCTTCACCGTATCGCTGGTTACTGTGAACTTGTCATCGATGTTGAAGGGAAAAAAAGTGTACTGCTGTTTCAAATCACTTATCACCACTACAATAGTTCCTTTATTTATAACTTAATTATTGCAAGTAACATTCCTTTGACCAGATCAGCAAACACTCAAGTGGTCGTACAGGGAGATGATGTCTGTAAGGGTGATATAATATGTCCAAGCAAAACACACTCTTCTTTCAAAAGCATTCCTACATAATCTCCTACATTTATGCTTCATCAAGTCACATATTTGTATTTGTAAGGCTAATAAATGGCTTTTTCATAGTTACACAAATATGTATTCATTCAAGTTTCATCAGTATAACAAAGTTGCATCTTATATGAAAATGAGTTCGTAGTATCCGAAAATTTCTTATAAAGGTTATTCCTAACTATCTATTCAGAGACTGTTTTTCATTTACTTCAATGTAAGCAATATTTCATTATATCAGTGTTAATTATATTGAGGCCTGAGTGTATATAAATGACATAGTAGAGTTTGGTTTTGATTTGTTGCTATCATGAAGAGATGGTATATACATGTATTAGTGACATTGTTTGATAGAAAAAAAAAGTAAATAAATCTTACATTTGTTTTGCTGGCTGCTGTCAGACGAAAGCTTACTGTCAAAGGCTTCACGACCTGTACTTTCTGTTTGGCTAATTTGCTGAATGTGGTCTCGTTCATCTTCTCCTCTGGAATGTTTTCATGGAAAGTGAATCCTACTGACGTTCCATTTTCATTGTACCACCTGAACTGTGAACACAAGAAATCAACGGAAATGGGCACGGTATGAAAACAGTATTAGCATATGTTACATTATAAATATGGCTCAAAACGCACATGGGGATTATACTACAACTCACACGAAAATTCTGGACTGTGAGGATGGTGCTCAACTTCGTAGATTTGGCAAGCTCGTTGCGAAAAGCTGTTAGAAACTTAGTTCTGTTGCCAGCGTCTAAGGTACAGGCATTCAAAGCTGAAAAAGAGTAGTAATGAACGATGTGAATTGATGGCACTGGTATGACACCTTCGACAGATGTGTACTAGAAAATTCTATAGAAAGTATGGAACATATATAAGACTTGAGAAGCAAAAATATGAAGACCTTGCGCCGCTAATCGAACAAGCTTGGCTTCTTTGGCTCAAGTCGTCTGCGGCCATAATTTTGTCCAGCAAATTCTTGACTTGCACAGTTGCAAACTATGTACATTGATTTTAGGTGTTTTCAAGACTGTCTTGCAGGATATTATTCAAAATAATTGACTGGGGTATGAAGTCATATTCGTGGATGAAAACTATCTTGCACAGCAGGTACATTTTTAACAGTCATTCATCGGATATGGGGGGGCTAGAAAGCAAAACTAAAAATAAGAATCATTTGAGCATCATTCGAGTAACTATCATACGAAAATACAAAAAAAACACAATTATAGGTGTCTAGAGAGAAGTTGATACACAAAAAGACGCAAATATATGAGACGAATGTTGATACTAGTGTAGAGTTTCCACACTAGATTGATGTGATCACATAGATTTTTTCACAGTTTTTTGGCTTGGCCCAGTTATGTTTGATTTAATAAACAAACTATTGTATAACCTTGCACTGAACTGCATGGCGTCATGTCATGTTACTTTATGTCGTGTTGCTTGTCTTAATCGTTTCCCCACTATTCGAGTCTCGACCTTCGCGAGATTTTATTTCCTGTGTTTTGTTAATGCATGTTCGCCCATGCTTGAAACTCCGTTATAACATATTTTTAATATGTGTCACGTGACTACCTCATGTAAAAGCACCAACAGATATCGTTATTTGCCCCGCCGCGGTGGTCTAGAGGCTAAGGTACTTGCTGCTGACCCGCAGGTCGCGGGTTCGAATTCCGGCTGCGGCGGCTGCATTTCCGTTGAAGGCGGAAATGTTGTACGCCCGTGTGCTCAGATTTGGGTGCACGTTAAAGAACCCCAAGTGGTCGAAATTTCTGGAGCCCTCCACTATGGCGTCTCTCATAATCATATGGTGGTTTTGGGACGTTAAACCCCACATATCATCATCAGATATCGTTATGAAATTATACAGTTACACAACTGTCTCAATAGGCCTAATTATGTTTGCCTTCCGATGTCGAATGAATAATTTGCCGGCAATGCACTCTGTTCACAGGATTGTAAGTAAGCCTACGCCTGAGTAGATGTGTAATACTTTGCAGGCAAGCCACCTGCTCTGCTGGCACAGCATGTTATGAAAACGTGCTAATGCAGAAGTTCCAATACCACCTATGCTGTTAATAAATTGGAAAAAAAAAATCACATACATTTCTCATGAAGACATACAATTGAGCCCCTTTATAAGAGACACAGATATAAGAGATGTAAGAAGCAAAAGTGTGCCTACAGTAAAATACAGGTTGATAAGAAAATGCATTCTAGATACCCTGCTTATAAGAGGATTCTCATATAATAGACAAGAGTTGCTGCCTGAAGCATGGTTCTTATAAAGGGATTTACTGTAGTAGGTTTCAAGGCATTTGCTCTAAGCCAAAGACCAGAAGTGCAAATGTTAGGGTGTCAGCTTACGTTTGAAGTTGATGTAGTAAGAGGCTGCTGGCTTCTCTTGTATACAAGCATGTTGGCTGAATACATCTTGGTCAGGCACAAAGGAGTTGAAGTAAAGGTAGTTTCTTATGGTTACATTTTGCTCTGGAAATGCCCAAGACCTCTTATACTGTAAAATCAAGCAATGTGTTTTATGTTGTTTGCTTCTGTGAACCCATTGATCAGCAAAGCTTTGCTAACTATAAAAGTATCCTTGCAACCTGTGTGCTGTCTTGCTCATAGACTGCCTCTTGTATCGGAGAGAAGATGTACTCATTCCTATACCGATCCATTCTCTTGTCATGCTGAAATTTAACAAAACCACTATAAAGAACATGTCATACGAAAGCTCATTGTACAGGGTGTTTCAAGAAATGCATCAAAAGTCTTCATAATAAGGACACTGCGATATTTTCCTTCCTGTTTTTGGCGTCACTTTTTCTGTGATGGCAAACATTCTATAATGACCATGGGTATAAGGTAAACCTTTTCTAGAAAGGCTCCTTGGGTGCCTTTGTAATCACCGTAGGGCTGTGCTAAATAGGTGCGGCCTCTTCTCACCGACAACATTCATTGATGAGGTTGTGATTTCGGCCTTTGTACTCTCCTACTCAAGCCTAGAATGGAGCTGTTCCGTCTCTTCTGCGAAAAGTTCTATACTCATACAGGTTAACTGAGGTTTCAGATAAAGGAGATAGGCGGCTGGGACAAATGAAGAAGTCCTTCTGGTGGAGTCCGTCTGATTTTAGCATTCCAAGAAGCATCCTCTTGTAATTTTTTCAGAGTAATAAAATCTGACCAATTTTTCTTTCAAAACTGAAATCGAAACATAGAAGAGCGTAGCTGCTGTACTCTTCGGCGACATCCAAAGCGAGTGAGCGTCGTCATATAAACCATCAATGTTTGTTTCATGGATGTGTCCTCTGCACTTACCATGATAGCACACGTGACACATAGATTAATGAACCCAGAAAAACCACTTGTTTTCATAAACATTTTTGTTATTCAGAGCATTTGCGCTTTTAACAAATCAATTTCAGTTTTGATAGTGAATTATATTGAATTTTATTACGCTGTGAAAATTACCATTGGCCTCTGTTTTCAAAAATCCAATACTGACGATGTGGTCTTTGTAGCGAGGGCTCCAATTCTCCCATTCGTCCTGACTTCCTATATTCTAAAATTAAAAAGGTAGTTTCTTTAACTGGTGCTGTACTTAAAGTCTCTAGACACCTTGATGTGTCTGCCAGCTCAAAAAAGATGATTATAATGAAGGCAGCAAGCAAACATCACATTGTCGCTTCGATTATTTTGAACGCATTAGCTGAAACAAATGAAACCGTTGAAAATACTCACCAACGAAAAGGACAGCTGCCTTTTTTTTATTGAAGACTTTTCCATGTTTTTGAGCAGCTCTGTCCACGTCTCAGCTTCAACACCCATTACGGTGGCCTGTTAAGCAGTCATTAATCAGGATGTTTTTAGAGCGAAAGCTGTTATCAGATCAGAACACAGGTCACGTGTGGTGCCGCTGCCGCCGGTGTCCTCCGCAACCAGTATAGCAAGAAATAAGTAAGAAACACCGAGGGTACAATGGGATTTGAACGCGGGTCCACTGCGTGCAGCCCAGCATTCTACCACTGAGCCACACCGGTGCTTGTAAATCGTTTATAAACTGGTCTTAGACAGGCTTGATGTCGGGAAAGGAATCGCGTTTATGTGAGCACTAAAGTGTTTTAAAACATCAAAGGAACAACCAGGCATCACACAATGGGAATCGAGTTCTTTGTCCAATCCTCCAACCCATTGCAAAAGCTTGTTCCTGATCACCTTTTAACTGTGGCACATACCCACCTCAGGCATAATTCTTGTTCGTCGTCAGCCACTGCATAAGAAAGTTCAAAATTCCTGGATATAGTGTGTAGCAGATACCACGCTTCTTTAAAAAATGACAAAGGAGAGCTAAGTGAACGCCGACCTAATACTAAAATGTTATAATTATTTAGGGCATAGTGGGTACCCAGCAAGTGCGCTTGTAGCAGTTACCCAAAGAGTGTTTAGAAAAGGCTATGAAAGGCCGCTCTTCCAGCTTTTGCTGTAACTATGCTGGCCAATTCGTGCAGGCCTGGTGGCTTTTTTTTTTACCTAGCTGGCGCAAATTCAATGTGATAGGTGCACATTAAGGTGATGCCTATGTTGTGTACTATACGGTTGTCATGATACGAAAGCCCGAAATTTGAAGTGGGTGCTTGGTCTTCCACCATACTCGGGAACTATTGATGTGAGCAGTGTTGTGTTGCCATATTATTATTTCCGTTCTTTTTTTAACACAGAAATGTTTTATGTTGAGGCCTACCATGACTTAACTGGCGTATTTCCATCATGGATATGACGTAATAAAATATACACTAACGAATTGCAAAGAAAAAAAAACGAGAAGGAAAAATTCAACCAGGGCGCGTCGAACAAGTGACCTCACGCTCGTGTGGGCGCGACAATAACCACTACGCCAGAGTGAACCTTTGTCGTGTTGTTAATGGTGAGTGAATTATATACACCATGGACGGCTGGCAGTCCTCAGACCTTAGCAATATCAGCGAGTTTTCTTCATGAGTAGCGAGATAGCATAACGGGCGTGTCACCCCACGCGTGCATAGCGATGCGCGCCTCCACACGGCGTGTCAAAGTACGTATAGATGTTCTCTAGTGTGGTGGCTCACTCGGGCACGCGCTTCTATCAAGATTTAGACACTTTGTACCTCTTGTGCTTCCACCGCAAGTTGAGTGTGAAGTAACATTAATTAAAGAGAGCACAAACGTCACTTCGCTCACTGCCATGGCCGCGTTTAAGAAAGGAGTGGGCTGATCACACGCGAAGAAGAATGTGACAGTTGGTCGTGCTCATCCCGTGTATGCTTGTGTATTCTTTTCGTGCGTCTTTCTTTCTGTTTTACCAGTGTGCTTTAAGTGTCGAGCTGTGACAGCTGTTTGTCTGCGCTCATTATGTGTATATATGCTCATTTCGTGCGTTCTTTCCACATGAAATGGGCGTTGCTAGTTTCAAGCTGCATGCCATTCTTCGTGGCTGCATGCCATTCTTCGTGGGACATTGTAATTTGTTGCTCTAGCTGTCATTTCTTTGCCCTTGTGGTGAAATTATGCACAAGGCATGCTCAACTACCCCTGCGATAAGATGTTTCATTTCGTCTACTACTGATTCCTTAAGAGAGGAATCAGCCACGTTTTTTTCCTTCTCTTTTTTCTCAAACTTTTTTTGCAGTCATCTACTCACCTCACCCCCTTTACTAGCCCAGAGTGGCCAGCAGTCTCAGGAATAGCTAACTTGCCTGTCCTTTTATTTTTTTTTTATTTTTACCTCCTCCACAATAATAAAACACCCAAGCACGATGCAGAGGACTTACCTTCCCCTTGTATTGTAGATTTGAGTTGATTCTGAAGAGTTCCTCAGGCGTCTTCAGAGTACCATTGGGGTGGTTCCAGAAATAACCCTTCTGCTTGCCTGCCCACAGGCAGGTCGATTGTGCCATGCTTGAAACATACGTAAAGCCTACAAAGCATCAGAATTAAAATGAACAATATGTATGTTATATTGACAAACACTTATGGACTTGCAAATCTACATATGAAAAAACGATCACATTCTAATGCTCCAGTGCTTGTTATTTTTTGCTCATCACAACAACCAAATCGTGTGATGCTGTTTGCTTTTCAAGGTGTGTGTTTCTTTTAATGATTTATTATTCACTGGTTGAGGCGCCTGGCTGGACATATATATGACTACTTGTGCATACACCTTGCACAACTCCTTTAGTTCATATGAAGGGAAGCTATATAAAAAGCTGAGCTTATCTCACCTGTTGTCAGGTCGAATAACAGGGATATAAACTCTGACGTATCGCCCACAGATTGTAGAAGTTGTGACCTTAGGTCTTCTTCTGATGGTCTCATATCAATTCTTGCAAGCTTTAACTCACTATCATACCATACCTGAAAAAAAAAGGGTACATGGTACAGAACGAATACGTAGTACCCATGAACATATAGAATTAAGGGCAATCAAGGGATTTGGTGTAGAAGTTTGGGTGTGTTGGTAAAACACTAGAGGAAACTCGTCGCAGTGGAAGATGGGAAAAGAAACATGGGACACACATAGGTCTGTCGGGAAAAAATCAAGGTACTCAATTTGGTTCATCACAAGGCTAAATTGCTCTGCCATTGTCAAAGCGTGAGCCACTTTGATTTGACTAAGATTATTGACGTTGATGGCTCCTCGCGGTCTGACGATGACTCTATAGTGCTTCCTTGGTAGACGAGGAAGTCGCGATGCAGGGATGAGACGCTTTTTTACACCGACGAGTGCGCGACCTCAGCCGAAAATGCCACGTTGTACCAAACTTGCAGGCGCGTCTTGCACGGACGCACCGTGTTGCTTGCACTTCGATAAGGCCATTGTCCAGCCGAATTCAAAGCACTCTTCAGGGGTAATGTCCACCCCTTCTACTTCAACTTGTGTAGACATGTTTTGTTCGCAAAAGCACTGTCGCGGGAGGCGCAGCACGAGAGGCGTTTGATGTGGCCTGGCAGAAATGTTCCAGAAACTCTGCAGTGAGATCACTCACCGAGAAAAGTTCAGTATCGGTGTGATCGGTAGCCCAAACTTCATCGAAAGACTGGAAGCTCAGCCACAGAAACCACAAAGTTGCATCCAAAATAATTTAGTGAAACAAGAGCCAACGTTTGTACAACCACACTTGAGCTTTTGCAGTAGAAAGACTTGAAATTCGTTCTGTGGGCCCTTACGCAGAGCCCAGTCCTTGGACTTCAGGCATTGAATCTAGACAGAACGTGGTGTTCTGTTGCTCTGAAACTCCTTGTAGATCTAACACCGCCCGTCTATTTTTGGGCTAATGCTGTCCTTTGCTGAACGCTTGCACCTTATTAGATTATTCAAGAATTAGGAGCTAGATATGTTTTGACAAATCTTTTTCACCTCTTTTTTGTTTCAATGCATAACTGCTCAGAAGTTTTATGGCTTTCAACTTCGTCCACCAGGCTTTGCGAGGCAATGAATTTAAAACTGCTAGATTGAACTTTTCTAGCGCTTTTTTTTTTCAATTTGGGTATCGGAAAAATGCCTTTAAAACTCAATCCCAGGACGTGCTTGTGAACGACCTCTAGATTCCGCCATTTTTTTATGCATGTCTTGAGAGCATTCTTGGAAGCACGGAAAAACTTCGATGCAGCGCGAATGAAGAGAGTCATGTCTTCAATGGCAATCAGTGATTTTTTATGTCCCTTTCCTCCCAGGAAGCTCTCTACATGATATTCTCTTGTATGTCCAAAGCATTCTAAACAATGAAATTTTATATATATCGAGTGTACGGTAATCGTTAAACTAATAAAATGCTCTCTATAAGAAAATCTGATGCATTTTTGTTGAGTTTTGCTTCTCTAACATTCCAGAATTAAAAATAAGATTCGCTTTGACCCCAAGCACTAAACGTACTAAACTTTTGGTGTTATGTAGCTCGTAGTGTAAAATAATAAAACCAATAATTACGTGGATCTACTGACGCAGGAGTATCTTCATGCACGAATCCGAAAATTTGGTCGAGCATGATTTCATTATACTTTTTGATGGGTCACGAACACACCGACACCAGCCACATAATCTTCCCAGGCGAGTACTGTGAGCAATGATCAACTTTTACACATAAAAAGATAGACAAAGACCAGCAGTTATCGCTGAATAACAAAAACAACGAAGAGTAGTTTTTGTATTACCTACAGAGGCCGGCAAAGTCAAAATGCCACATCTTGCCACATGTCTCATTTTACCCCTCTCTACCCTACTACTGTTGAAAGGGGTGTCGCACTAATAACAATGGCACCCCTAGGTCTCGAACATGCTGTTACTTATGAGAGTAGCTCCAGCAAAAGGCTACGGAGTCAGTGGGGCAATACGACACATTTATTCGTGTGATATCCAGGTGCACACTATCTTTCAGGCGCAAAGCACCGTATAGGCCGGGCTTTTTGGCATCTCCTGTATTCACGGTGTGTCATATCGTCACGGTCTACATCATATCCATCTTAAAGTCAACTTCACATGATGACCTTATCCAGCATTTTGGCGACACCAGACCAACAAAATTTCTGACGCAATCATGGCGTGGTGAAGCACCTGAGGATGTTGGCTTGTCTGCATCTAATGTAGACATCTAATGTGTGTGACGTATACTCAAGGTTTCCATAAAAAACAGGTAATGGCCACAAAATAGGTTAAATCGCACTACTCGCCACCGGTCCTCTCAAAATCAAGAAGGCAACGGTTGGCCCAACAAATAGCTGAAATAACTTTGCCCACTTTGCCTCACCTTCTGTTAGACATCATCTCCAGGTTTCGTGTTAGCTGAAACACCCTTTCCTACAAGCTTTGCTGTTTCTCTGTTTTTTTTTTCTTTTTTGTTGTGGTTGTTTTCCCTCGGCGAATGCGGCCGCATCTACCAGGTTCCCACTTGTAACTTTCAGTAAAGCGATAGACTATACCTTTGCTATTCTATTCATAGGTCCGTTCATATTGCTATTTATATTCCTATTCTGCTATTCGTATTCCTCTTGCTAGTCTATTCATAGGTCCGTTAAAGAGACACTATAAAGTCAAATAGAAGTTCACATCAGAGTGAAAGCTCAGTGTATGACAACATCTAAAACGACAACATTATCAATAACACTGCCCTACTTACCGAGAAATTTAGGTAAATGCATGAGAGCACATGTTCCGTAGTAGAACATTTTCAAAATGATTCCTATGACATCAGACGCACCGCCTACAATTAATCACTAGTAATCGATTTAGCTGCGCTAAATAAAGAACCCTCCGTGCATCAATAGACACAATCAAATGCTGCTTGTTCGTTTCTGTTTAATTCATAGAAAGAAGGACCGCCGGATGTTACTATGGGGAATGGTGCGAGTGGTTCGAAAATTCAGTTTTCACGTAGTTACACTGGACAGGCTGTGCCATCTAGCGGGGCGCAGTTTAACCAAAACACGTCTGCAATTTTGCAGCCAATGACGGGAAATTGATCAATGGCCGTTGTTGTTGCTGTGGCTTCTGCTGCTTTTGGTGTGCTGCTACTTTCGAAGTAAAGCCGGGCAACGTTGGGCACGGCAACAGTGACGTGAGTCAGTCCGGTCGGTCCGCTTCTTGAAGCGGGTAATTTGAAGTGTGCTAACGCGATGCGGACCACTAAAATGTGATTTTATTTCGAAATAGGCCCTTCCTTGGTGCAAAAGTAACACTACGAGGTTTCTAGACCACTATTTCAACGATCAACGTCGACTTAATGGTTGCCTTTAGCGTGCCTTCAAAAGTACCCTTCGCTATATATATATATATATATATATATATATATATATATATATATATATATATATATATATATATATATATATATATATATATATATATATATCCATGTATAGGTCAATAAAATACTGATACGTAAGAATAACAAAATAAATATATAGTGGACAGAATGCACCTTTTTGTACGAAAGTGAAGCAAAGCCGGCCTTCAGATATCCACTTCCATCTAGTTGAAACACTGTCTCTTCAACGCTGTAGCTGAACGAAGATGGCATGTTGGGCAGTCGCCCTCTATTGGGCCTGTACTTGCAGTGCAGTCCCTCCGGAATCTGGGGATTCAGCAAGAATAATTGAGCATGTGTTCGATTTCAAGCCACAGCACATCATACAAACAGCCACGTCGGGCGACTTCACAGGCAGAATATGTATACAAGTACGAATTCAAATCAGGAGAAATTTTGCATGAAAGCAAAAGCACGAAGCTATCGAAACGCATTAAAAGATCGTGCGAAATTTTTCTCGACCCGGTGTTTTACGGCGTGATGGAAAGCCAACCCTCACATTGTTAAACCTGCAGCTGCTGATTCCAAAAGCGCGGGAATATCTTATAATTTTTCCTACTGAGAAGCCACTATAAAGTAACAGTGTCTCCTCCAGCAACGCTGAGCAGTGATTGAGAGGCTGATAGCTTTCCTCGCAAGCTGTTCATTATCGTCAATGTTCTGCTGTCACAAAAGCGACTGCAAACAGCTTGCATTTTTACATATTGAACCGTTTATTTATATATATATATATATATATATATATATATATATATATATATATATATATATATATATATATATATATATATATATATATATATATATATATATATATATATATATGAGCATCGGGTCGTGTTGAACGCGAAGGTGGCATCCGTGCTTTGCTCAGTATGAACGAAGGTTTATCTGCACATTTTAAAGTTGCATTGCAAAACTTTTCCAAGCAACCATCGAATCGCTTATTTAAAGAGGACCTACAACTCTTCTTCAAGTAGCCATGAAATGGATTCGCCAAAGGCCACTTGCTGCCGCACGAATTCACCGTTGCAAAAATATTCATAACCCATAGTTACAAAAACTTGTCGCACGCCGTAATTGCACTCTCTCTTCCCTCGACCTGAATTCCAGGCCGCGTGCTGCTATTTATTATTTCGCTAGCGTGTTCTTGGGAGCTTTGACTACCGATTGGCAGCGTTTTCTTACCAAGCTCAGAAAGTGTTCTTGAAATGAGCTTATTGCGTCTCAAAACTAACCGCTGCAAACATGTTTTTAGAATACGTCAAGTACGAGCGGAGATCATTTCTGCACGCTATAACTGCTTTCTCTATCCTCCTAACGAGTGCACTGGAAGCGGAGCAGGGAGGGATGGCACGGGAAAGGAAGTTATGTCACGCGGGCGGCCTACTTTCAGTATCATCGCGAGTGACAGCGCGGGCTCGTAACGGCCTCCCGCGGCGGCCTCAGTAACTATACAGCCCACGATACTCTACTCGGTTTATGTTCGTGAATTTGGTGTATAAGCCTTGGTCGTTTGGGTTCATGACATCATTTGTAGAAAAAAAAAAGAGAATGATTTTCAGCTG